TGATGTCAGGTTTTAGCATCTTCTCAGATTATTGGGATTATGCAGACTTTTTTAATATGGGATGCTCACAACTTGCTTCAACTCATTCAGAAGCAAAAAAATTTAAAAATGACTTTGGTGACAATTTTCAGCAGACAGGAAGCTAAACATGAAATAAGTCCATATTATGCTTACCATTTTTTCTGGGGTAATATTTACATACAGTTTGTGTCAGGTCAATWATTTGTTTCACCTGCTGTTCTTTGTAAAGCAGGTTTAGACAACTAAAAGTTTTARCAAACAGCTACAATCCAATCAGCTTTAAGTTGAAAGTCATCACATGTAAATGAGGGATTTGGATGCTTTAATAGTTCAGTCACCTACAATCTAAACATGATGTTTGATGATGTTTCTTTCACAAACTGAAGATAAAGAGACATCACTGTAAACACACCAATATAATTTTTTTCTTTTATTTCTTTTTTTTTTTGTTTGTTTTGCTCTCCACAAACATTCATCTTTGCAGAAAGGTGGTGACAGCATTTTTTTCCCAGTTCAGACTCCTTTGAAGATTTCCTGATGGTTTGCTTGGGGAAGCATGACCAATTGATTGGAAGGCTGCAGCCAACATGTCGCCTGAGTGTAAGTGAGGGTACTTAGACAAATCAACAAGAACATGCTGAAGCCTGAAGCATTGGCTCCGATACCCCAGCTGCTCAAACCTGCAGCTAAATGTGCATCATGGAGAACGCTGAATCTTGTGACCTCCTGAAGAATGGTTTTCTGTTCCAATGGTGATATTCAGGAAAATCATGTTTAGTATTTAAGGGATCAAACATAAATTTATTTCAGAAATTGCATATTGAGCTAAATGTCTTTTGCAATGTTGGGTTTAAATTGGGCTCTGGTTTATTGTAAATTGGCACTTCTGTACTTTCATCACTTCTTCTGTCCCATCACGAAATCTGTTCCCTGTATTATGTTGTGATTTTAGTGAGACAAAGTCATCGGGTTTCTTTAAAAAAAGGTCCAGAATAAATTCAGAAAGTCATTTGTGTTCAAACAGTGACAGAAGCATTCTGAAGTTTTCTGCTCAGAAAATTAAAGTGATTATTTTTACTCTGAAAGTCGTTTTTCAATCCGTTCATTTAATTTTCTTTGCTCCTCCAGTTTCAGATCAAAGACTTGAAACAGTTTTCACTTTACTTGTATCAGGCAATCCAAAATGGAAAAACACATGCAGGCAAATTCTCGGTTTTTTTTTAAACTTAGAGGGATTTCCTAAATTACACACAAACACTCTCACATACGCACACACACACACGCACACATCCTTGTTTTGATCTCTAGCAGAGAAGAAAATGTCTGTGAAGAATGAGCTCTCACGTCAGTTTCAATCCTTGAAGCAGCAAAACAGAAGAAGATATTGATCTCAACAAAATGATGTGTTACTGAAAAGATTCCTGCTGATAAATGACAACGCAGCTTGCAGCTGTCATTACTGCAGGCAGGAAACAGAAAACTACATGCACATTTCAAACCAAATTGTTAAAAAATAAACTCTAACTCATTGTTTTTTTTTAAGTTTTCATTTTACTTATTTATTCTCATTTGAGAAATCTTTGTGTTGCATTGGCAATGCACCACAAATCACTAACTGGGCAACAAACTCAACACAGGTAATTTTAACTTAAAAGTGCCAAAGAAAGCAACTGAAAAACTGAAGTGGTGCAAAAATCCACAATATGATGTTTGCTTGCATCAGTGTACATTTTGACCTGTTTTATATATTTCCCTCATGCCGCGTCTCCATTTTAACAACCTAGCCGGCTTGTTTCTAAAATAGTCCATCCCCACAGAGCCCCATTTTAAAGTGTCCATCATAAAAATAAAATAAAATAAAAATAAATAAAGCTTACTCCACAGTGCACAAATATTGTTTTGGTCTCTGTAGCTGTCACTCTGAGTGACAGATAAATGTCGTGGCATCTACCCAATGCTCCTCTTACATGTCAATCCTGTCTGAAAACCCAAGATGGCAACAGCCAAAGGACAAAATCGAGACTTCAAAACAGCGGTCCACAAGCTGCAGAGGGTGGTKTCAGAGGGGCTTCATTCAACTCTGCTTTGTTTTTAACATGCAAACAGAGGACAAAGCTACAGTCATTTGAGTTGAGGTTGAGTTTTCGATCCAGCGCGGTGTCATTGGTGTCTCACTGATTTTGTGCTTGAGCTGCCAAACTAAACTGCCACACCACTTAGGTTCAGCTGACAGATATCACTCTCCATCCCTGCTGCAGCAGAAAATGGGGTGACATCACTGTGGTACCAGAAGCTCAGTGCATGTTTGTGTTGACGACCTATCACTGTGTCTGAAACTGAACAAACTGTGAACATTTGATAATACAGATACAGTCAAAACTTACAGCTAAAGGCAAAATGACAATAATGCCTGTTTGGCTGTGCATTTGTGTTTGTACTGTTAGTAAAATACAGCGGGTAAGATAAGTATTGAACACGTCACCATTTTTCTCAGTAAATATATTACTKGAGGTGCTKATGACATGAAATTTTCACCAGATGTCGGTAACAACCCAAGTYATCCATACATACAAAGAAATCAAACCATAAATGTCCAGAAATGAAGTTATTTGTAATAATGTGGAATGGCACAGGGAAAAAGTATTGAACACACTTACTGAAATTTATCTAATACTTTGTACAAAAGCCTTTGTTGTCAATGACAGCTTCAAGACGCCTCCTGTATGGAGAAACTAGTGGCATGCATTGCTCAGGTGTYATTTTGGCCCATTCTTCCACACAAACAGTCTTCAAATCTTGAAGGTTTCGTGGACCTCTTCTATGAACTCTGATCTTTAGTTCTTTCCATAGATTTTCTGTTGGATTCAGGTCAGGTGATTGGCTGGGCCATTCCAGCAGCTTTAGTTTCTTTCTCTGAAACCAACTGAGAGTTTCCTTGGCTTTGTGTTTGGGCTCATTGTCTTGCTGAAATGTCCAGCCACGTTTCATCTTCATCATCCTGGTAGAAAATCCTGGAAGCAGATTTTTATCAAGAATGTCTCTGTATATTTTTCCATTCATCCTTCCTTCAATTATTTGAAGTTTGCCAGTACCATATGCTGAAAAACAGCCCCACACCATGATGTRCCCACCTCCAAACTTCACTGTTGGTATGGTGTTTTTGGGCTGATGTGCAGTGCCATTTGACCTCCAAACATGATGTGTATTCTGGCATCCAAACAGTTCAATGTTGGTCTCATCTGACCAGACTATATTCTTCCAGTATTACACAGGCTTGTTTAAATGTTGTGCAGCAAACTTTAAAMGAGCTTCAACATGCTGTTTCTTCAGCAGTGGAGTCTTGCGTGGTGAGCGTGCATACAGGCCATGGTGGTTCAGTGCATTACTTATTGTTTTCTTTGAAACAATCGTACCTGCTAATTCCAGATCTTTCTGAAGCTCTCCACAAGTGGTCCTTGGCTCTTGGACAACTCTTCTGATAATTCTTTTCACTCCTCTGTCAGAAATCTTGTGATGAGCACCTGGTCGTGGTCGGTTTATGGTGAAATAATGTTCTTTCCACTTCTGAATTATGGCCCCAACAGTGCTCACTGGAACCTTCAGAAGTTTAGACATTCTTCTGTAACCGATGCCATCATTATGCTTTGCAACAATAAGGTTGTGAAGGTCTTGAGAGAGCTCTTTACTTTTACCCATCATCAGATGGTTCTTGTGTGATACCTGGTCATCATTTGGGACTGAACCAGCTGATATTAACTTGCACTGACAAGGGGCAGGCTTGTTTTCTAATTACTGAGAGAGTTCAGCTGGTGTCTTGGCTTTCCATGCCTTTTTACACCTCCCTTTCTTCATGTGTTCAATACTTTTTCCCTGTGCCATTCCACATTATTACAAATAACTTCATTTCTGGACATTTATGGTTTGATTTCTTTGTATGAATGGATCACTTGGGTTGTTACCAACATCTGGTGAAAATTTCATGTCATTAGCACCTCTAGTAATATATTTACTGAGAAAAATGGTGATGTGTTCAATACTTATTTTACCTGCTGAATCTTATGAATCTTAATGAGGAGGAAAACAATGTTCACTGTTCATTATTAATTTAATCTTTAATTACTGTTTAAGATTAAGTTTTGTAACGGACGCACAATACATTCTTAATCGTTTTATGAATACAACAGGAAGATTTTCAACAATTTATTCTCTATGATGTTCGAGGTCATGACACTGCAGTGTTGGGAATGTTTTGTGTCTGAAAAATGTGAGATTAAAAAACTTTTTTTCTTTCTCATCTGCAGAGAAACTGAAACTTGAAGCAGGCGAGCTGAGCAATATTTGCAATGCTCGATCTGTGATTGTGGCTGTTCCCCATATTTGCAATAAGTTTGTAAAAAAGAAATTACTATCTGATCTGTTTGTGAAACTTTTTTTCCCCACTGCACACATTTTCATGAAAATTAAAAAAAAACAGTTTGATTTACCTCCACAACTGATGACCTTGTGGAGTAACCAGATGACTGATAAAACAGTTGACTTGACAAAACACAAACTAGCTAAAATGCAACCATTTAAATATATATATTTATAAAAATTTTGTGGGGWATTATATTAACTGATACCCTGCATATATTCTGAGTGCTAAAAGACTGCTTTGTTTGGGATGTTCAAATTAGAAGTTTGAACTAAATCTAAATTTTAAGCTAATTTCATTGAGATTATCTATTCTATTCTATTCTATTCTATTCTATTCTATTCTATTCTATTCTATTCTAGTCTAGTCTAGTCTAATCTAGTCTATTCAGAATAGTATTCTAAACAGTCTTCTTTCAGTCTCTGTATGTGAGCATCCTCATCTTTCCAGTGGGCGGGTCTCATGAAAACTGTCACTCAGCCTGCTTCAGCTCCGGGATTGGCTTGTCTCCTCTGTGGGGGTTAGAAGGGGGGGGGCGGTGGGCGGTGCGATGGAGCCACATGGAGCCAGTTGGATGAGTCTGTGACCGTTAGTCTGTTCCATCCTCCGATGGAGTCATCTGGACACCGTGGAGCAATTTTGCGCATCATCAGCATCTTTTTGTGCTGGAAAACAGCTGAACTAAACTGAGTTTATTATACTCTGAATATTTGTTTCTTAACTTTTATTCTTTTTTTATTTTTATTTTTTCATGGACCACTTGAAACCTAAAAGACTGGTTTGTGCGTAAAAGTCATTTTTGATGGAATAAATAGTTTGGAGCGGTCTGGCAGAGTGATCGATTTCCTCTTGATGGACTTTAATCTTTCACTCGTGACAAAGGATTTAAAGCTTTTTAATGCATTTTAAGAAAATTGTTTAAAAGACATTTTTTATATCCTTCTGACAACTTTTCTTTTCACTGAAAGGAATTTATTTAAGAATCGTCCTGACTTATATTTCTGTGAGAAATCCACTTTGTTTTTGTTTGTATAAAAACTGGTTTGATGGAAACATGACTTTGGTTCTCATGAACATCCTGCTCCCGCTGCTCCTGCTTCACCTCTCAGCGGTGTGTTTGTCCGCTCAGCGCAAGCATCCAGCGCGCTACTTCGGGCACATAGCAGAAAACTCCCCGGCTGGGACGCCCGTGGACGGGGTTCTGATTCCGCTCCTAACCGCGGGGTGTCCTGATGCGGATCTCGATGCGAGCCTGGACGGGAATTACGCATCGGATTTCAGGGTCGTTTACGGGAACCGGGACCACCGGAGCCATCTGGGATTGGTCTCCGCGAAACCTCTGGATCGAGAGTTRATCGCGATGTACGAGCTGACCGTGGAGCTGCCGCCAAGGTGTCAGAGGAGACCAGCAGTCYTCCAGGTCGAAGTGTCAGACAGGAACGACAACATACCCCGCTTCACCTGCGGCAACAAGACGGTGGAGGTGGACGAGCTGACTCCTCTCGGAACCGAGCTGGCTCGCTTTGACGCAAAAGACAGCGACGCGGYGAAAAACGGACGCGTAACTTTTTACGCATCACCAGAGGAGCCCGATCTGCTCCACGTGGTTCCACAGACCGGGCAGGTGCGGCTCGTCGGATCCCTGCTGGGGGTCAGCCAGGTGAATCTGCGCCTTTACGCGAAGGACAGAGGAGATGTCACGCTGATAGGAGAGCCCGTGTTCCTGCGCGTCGACGTCCGGAGGTCCGGCAGAGCGCGGCGGACATCCCGAGCCCTGCCCGAGGATCTGACCTACTCAGTGACCGTCTCGGACCACATCCGAGTCGGAGATCTGGTGTTCACGGTGCCGGACCAGAGGTTCGAGCAGCGGTGGTTCGAGGTGATATCTGAGGCCGACTCGCCTGTGCAGATCGAGAGGGACTCGGGACGTTTATACCTGGCGCGCAGCCTGAGGGAGCCCGCGGAGGTGGTGGTCAAGATCCAGAATCTCCGAGGTGAGTCAAAGTCTTTTCTCTCCGCGCGTAAAAACGCAAATATGTGGCAGACTGGGTTTGGGAGTCTGGTTTTGTTGCTGCGTTTCTTTTCCTGTTGGTTTAATTTCGAAGGTTTTAATCAATTTCCACTTCAGAAAGTTCTCTCTTCAGACAAAACCAAGCTGAGTGAAAGTTTCACAAGTCATTTAATTATGGATCTTTTTAGACATGCAGACTTTTTTTTTAGATTTACATGCAAGATCCTTCCAGTGACTTCAGTAACGATTACCTTCTAAAGTGTTTCCTTCAGACACTGAGTGGAGTCCATTCATTCAGAGTGGGTGATTCTGTGCTGGCTTCTCTCCAGCCCAGTTTGAATCGACCTCAACCGTCAACGACTACTTTCCACTCTTTCATTCATTCCTCACAACACAACACTCTACTGAACGCTGCCAAGTGTGTGTGTGTGTGTGTGTGTGTGTGTGTGTGTGTGTGTGTGTGTGTGTGTGTGTGTGTGTGTGTGTGT